TTGAGCAATAAGACATTAGGTTAACCAAGTTGAGCAAGCAGAGCAATTGAGCCAGTCTCTGTCACGAGCTCTGCTTGAGACAAGCCTTGTGTTGACTCGATCTTCACCTTGACCCTCAAGACAGCTCCCAATAGGCGCATGAGCTTTTACATTTTTTAGTCATGATAGTGAGTTGTGTATTTAATTTTTCAGTGGTATATAAATAATTATTTATATAAGAGTAATTGGCTTATCAAAGTCATAAATTTATTTATTTTTGCAAAGCTACAATAACAAGTAAATAGCTCGAAGTCAAGCTTCATATACTTAACCTTTAGGTCAGCTCCTGCGTAGAGATACTGGAGTTGATTGAACCAAAGTCGTATATAGATCTTCCTCTAGCTTGAACATTCTCAAAGTTCAACTCTTTGTTGCAGCTCTATTGAGCTTCACGCCAAAGGTTAGGTCTGTGTATCTGCTCCTCCTAGAGTTGCTAAGGTGGACTCTCTGAAGGAAACCCTTTATTAGTAAGGTTGAGGATAAGTCACAAAACTTTAACAACTATAAAATCAAAGTTTGAACTGAAATTAGGATCTGCTTTCCAGTTTTACCATGTACCCTGTATTTTCGTTATCTAAAGAGATATTTGCCTCTAAGCAGTATTGTATTCCTTAATGTTAATATATATATGTGATTTATTCTTTCTCTGGGGCTTCATGCTTTGCCTAATCTCATAATGCAACACTACTAGTGAAGTTAGATATCGAAGTCTCGCCTCGCTTTAGCTTTGTCATTGATAGTGACCTAGTTCAATCCTTGCTGTCTCTGTGCTACAAACTTAAAGTATGTAATTTTGCTTCATTATTAAGCAGTTATGTGGAGGTAGAGCTTCGGAGGGCGTGTTTATTGGTGCCTTTCTCTCAATGTCATCTACAGCGGTGGTAAGCTCTCTGGGCAGTTCTCTCTTAGTTTAATGTGCTTTTAGCACAGAATTAATTCAAAGTTTTTTCCAATGCTCAAAATTTCCTGCTTACAGGTATATAAATTTTTGATGGAGAAGAACTCTACCAGTGCCCTTCACGGTCAAGTTACCATAGGCACTCTCATTTTGCAGGTTTCTTGATTATCTGATTCATCCCATATACCTTGCCTTTTCATTACTAAATTTCTTCTGGAAATACATCTATTACTCGGTTTCGAATAATGAACTTATATCTTTCATTATTTAAAACACGTTTATGTGTATTTTGAATTGCAATTTAAGGTTTCAATTGACAAGACTTTTACTTTTGAACTTTCATTTTCTAAATCCCCATTTTCAGGACTGTGCTGTGGGATTACTGTTTGCTCTGCTTCCAGTCCTGGGTGGAACCTCTGGTGTTCTGCAGGGAGCAATATCGATGACTAAATCGTAAGTTCATAATTGCTACAATAGGTTGTAAATATCAATCTATTTCACAAGTAATATGAAACCATGGAAGATTTTTTAACCAGAAATTGTCATGTCAGTTTCTTTCTTCATTTCTTAAAGACTGGATCTCCTGGAAAGGGGAAAGCAGGAATCTATAGTTTTTTGAATTTTAAAAGGAGATTTAGAA